CTCTCAATCAATGCAGTAAAGGATCTTGACCTTTCCTTATATTTGATTCCTTCTGCTTTAATCTGTTCCTGCTCCATATGGGCCGGTGGAACAAATGTACTTAATGGTTACAGCAATGTGCCAAATTTTACTGCAACTCAGCAATGTGATTAAAAAACAACTCTAGATTTATCTTAATGTGGAACATGTATTCAGTGCTGACAGCTTTTATGTGCATTCTTACTATAAATAATAACACAGATTGTAAAAACTCTTCCTTCTAAAAGGTCTCTGGATATTTTTAAATCTCCAAACACCCTTTACGTTGCTATCCTCCTTTCGATCATTTTGGGCTCGATCTTTTCCACAGCCACCATAACATCCCATGAGAATGAGGGGCCCTTCCTTTAACCCCGGCAAAGTCAGATTTGTTCCCTTTCTGACAGTCCCTCATCAATCTTTTTGACAAAGTGCCTCCCAGACAAGGCTTGATAATTAAGGCACAGAGGAACAGAGAAGGGGGGCACTCTGTCATCCCACCAGGAACTGTCAGAGAGCCTCAAAGAGGGCCTCCCTGTTTGTTTCATTCATCTGTGGATGTATCTCTTGGTCTCTGGGCGGTTTCACTTCCAAAAGACAACGCTGGGATTACAATGGAGAAAAAATGTTAAGTGAAACTTGGAAAAACCTAGAGCTGTAGAGATCCAGTCTGGTTCCCTCTGTTGGCCCGTTTATAAACTTTTGTTTTCTAATTAAATCAGTCATCTATGTCTGTATGTTTAATATAGAGAAGTATTTACATTTGTAGTATCCTGCAATGTGTAGTACAGTGAAATATGTCTGCTGACCAATGCATAGAGGATCTGTTTTAAAAACTCTAGAGAATGAGGTTTAATTAACATCCTAAAGGTGCAATAATTCATCTATTCAGTAAATCGTCTTTTTAAACCGATGCTTTAATTTTTATTTCCAACCAACAAAATGAGATACGACCTTTCGAGACAGATTGTTCCTTTCCGTAAGATGTATGGTCGCCCCACGGTTATGCTCACATCAAGAAAGCACATCAACACAGCTTTTTCCCCCTCACAGCCCTTATCTGAAAATAGACACAGGCAGTGACCCGGGTCAACGTGTTCTAATCCATTTTGTTGCTTATCTATAGTCAATAACTCGAGCACTAATCATGTGGGTGATGCCAAACAGTCATCAGTAACAGACTATTTTTAACAGATAAAAACTAAAGCTTTTTAGCCAAACACTGAGAAAAATGCTTTAAAGAAAAAAATCTTAAGTTAGACTCACAATACAAACCAGAAAATACAGGAAGTAATTTTTATTTCTGATAAAATCATTTAAAGAATAAGAGAGACCAAAGCTAAACTAAACCCATTAAAAAAATGGAAGGTTGATGTCGGCATGGATGAGTTAGGTTTATATTTTTTCCCCCATAACCATTGCTATATTTTACATTCTAATAAAGACGGTGTATTCTAGAGTGGCCAGTTTTCTCTGGTGAAATGAGGCAAATTAACCAGTGCAATGCTGCTCCACTGTGCTTTTAGACCGGGCATTGCCATTAACCTAGCACTTTATTCAAACTATATTTGGGAGGCTATGTCATTGGTAGAATGAAACACATCAAACAGTTTATCCTATGAAGAAAAAATAAATCTGGCCAAAGCTTTAATGTTTTTGTTTAAAGGGACCTGTATAAACAGTATTTTTGCAGGAGGCGTTCCACCAGGCATAAAACATTGTTCACAGTCACCATCTGCTGGCAGCACTAATTTAAACACCCATCACCTTACCAGCCTTGCAGGTTTGAACTCCTGCTCTAATAAACTCGTGTTCACATCGTTTGCTAAAAACTGTTGGAATCTAATACTTTTTTTCACAATTTTACATACGGTATTTTGAACTTTTCCTCCCTCTTTTTACACATCTAAAGGATGGTGACTGTGAACAATGTTTTATGCCTGGTGGAACGCCTCCTGCAAAAATACTGTTTATACAGGTCCCATAGAGCTTCTGACTGTTAGCTGCAGACCCTTTTACCTGCCCAGAGAGTTCACTGTTGTTACCATCACAGCGGTGTATGTCCCCCCCAGCGCTGATACAAAGGAGGCCATGAGTGTTCTCTATCGGACTGTCTCTGAGCTGCAATCTACACACACAGAGGGCGTTTTCATCATTGCTGGAGATTTTAATCAGGCGAATATGAAAACTGTTCTCCCTCATTTTTATCAACACGTGGATTTTGCTACTCGTGGAGAGAACACTCTGGACTTAGTTTATACAAACATAAAAGACGCATTCAGAGCAGCCCCCCGCCCCCACATCGGCTCCTCAGACCACCTTTCTGTGATGCTAATTCCTGCATACAGACCCCTGCTGATCAGAGCAAAACCTACAGTGAAGCAGGTGAGGGTCTGGACGGAGGGGGCCATGGATGCACTCCAGGACTGCTTTGAATGCTCTGAATGGGACATGTTCAAATCAGCAGCAACATATGACAACAAGATCAATGTTGATGAGTACGCCATGACTGTTTCAGCCTACATCAACCACTGCATCGAGGACGTCAGCACAACAAAGACCATCACCACCCGAGCCAACCAACGGCCCTGGATGACTGAGGAGGTCCGCCACGCGCTAAAAGCACGGAACTCAGCCTTCAAGTCTGGTGACAAGGAGGCACTGAGGACAGCTAGAGCCACCCTGAACCATGCCATCAGGTTAGCAAAGCGGAACCATAACCAGAAAATCCAGCATCTGTTCCACGACGCCAACAACACCAGGAGCATGTGGCAAGGCATACGGGCGATCACAGACTACAACACGCCCCCTGCCCCGGTGGATGAAGTTGATGCTGACTTCCTAAACGGACTAAATAACTTCTTTGGGAGGTTTGAGGCACTAAATCGCACTCCAGCAGTGAAGGCTGTCCCACATCAGGAAGAGGAGGTTCTCTGCCTTAACACAGCCGACGTGTGGAAGACTCTGAGGAGGGTCAACCCGCGGAAGGCCCCAGGTCCCGACAACATACCTGGGCGGGTGCTCAAGGAGTGTGCAGGTCAGCTAGCTGGTGTCCTCACGGACATTTTTAACACCTCGCTGGAGCAAGCCACAGTGCCAGCATGCTTCAAGTCTGCCTCCATCATCCCAGTGCCAAAGAAACCTCAAGTCACCTGCTACAACGACTACCGGCCCGTCGCACTGACTCCCATCATGATGAAGTGCTTTGAAAGGCTGGTAAAGGAACACATCGTCTCCAGTCTCCCCCCAACACTCGACCCGTTCCAGTTTGCCTACCGGCGAAACCGCTCCACTGAGGACGCCATCTCCTCTGCTCTTCACCTGAGCCTGGCCCACCTGGAGGAGAAGAACACCCACGTGCGGATGCTGTTCCTGGACTTCAGTTCAGCGTTTAACACCATCATCCCACAGCACCTGGTGGGAAAGCTGGAACATCTGGGCTTCAACACACCCCTTCGAAACTGGCTGCTGGACTTCCTCACCAACAGACCTCAGTCAGTCCGGGTCGGTCAGAACACCTCTGATGTCATCACCCTCAGCACGGGCTCCCCTCAGGGCTGCGTCCTGAGCCCCCTGCTGTTCACCCTGATGACATATGACTGCGTCCCCAGGTTCACCACCAATCACATCGTGAAGTTTGCGGACGACACCACGGTGGTGGGCCTCATCAGGGACGACAACGACCGGGACTACAGAGAGGAGGTGGAGCAGCTGGTGGACTGGTGCAGTGAAAACAGTCTGATCCTGAACGTGGAGAAGACGAAGGAGATCATCGTCGACTTCAGGAAAAAACGCCCCCACCATGCTCCACTGCTCATCAACAGCTCAGCTGTGGAGGTGGTCAGCAGCACAAAGTTCCTGGGGGTGCACATCACGGACAACCTCACCTGGACTGTAAACACTTCATCTCTAGTGAAGAGGGCACAGAAGCGCTTGTACTTTCTGCGGAGGATGAGGAGAGCCCGCCTGCCCCCGCCCATCCTCACAACCTTCTACAGAAGCACCATAGAGAGCGTTCTGACCAGCTGTCTCTCTCTGTGGTGTGGAGGCTGCAGAGCTTCTGACTGGAAGAATGTGAGGAGGGTGGTGAGGACAGCGGAAGGAATCATTGGGGCTCCTCTTCCCTCCATTAAGGACATTTCATCACAGCGCTGTGTGTCCCGAGCCCGTAATATCATCAAAGACCCCTCACACCCCCACCATGGACTGTTCTCCCTGCTGCCCTCTGGAAAGAGGTTCCGCAGCATCCGCTGCAGATCCACCAGGTTGTGCAACAGCTTCTTCCCCACTGCCATCAGACTGTTGAACCTTTGATCCACAATCCGAACTCTGCACCTATTGCACATTATCGGGCATCAAATGCTGCTGAACTTTTAACTTTTAGCCCTTTAAATTGTTCATCTCATTGTATTTTTCAATAACGCATTTTTTGCACAAATGCCATTTTGCACTGAACCACTGCAACTTGCACACTGTCTCTTATCCTCTGCACTGTTCACACTTTGACCACTGCTGCACTTTTTGTATTTTTCTATAACTCGTGCCATTTGAAATATCAATGCAACGTTCATAAGCTGTATGTAACGCAATTTCGTTCTGTATGCACCCTGTGCATACAAAATGACAAATAAAGAAGTCTAAGTCTAAAAATGCTGACTTGCTTGCCTCCATTACTTCCCTGTTTACTTGGTAAAATAAAATTTGTACCTCTAATCACATGGTGATTATAAATGCCAAAATACACCCCATATGGTTTAGAATTAACTTAAAATAACTTTTCTATATCTATTCTCTTTTTAGGTTTTACATTTAATGCCCCTTTTCCCAGTTTTTCATCTCATTCTTAAATAATTTAAATCAATAAACATAACTTCTTCTGATGTTCTACTTTATGCATTTAAATGAGCAAACATGAGATCCGTGTTCAGCAGCGGGTACAAACATGTTTGACCTTTACTAATTCAAAGAAGACAGAGCAAATATCACTGCTGAAACCACATTTATTTTGGAGCAGATGTATTAACAAAAGTAGACTGGTTAATCACAAAACTTAAGTCAGTATATTTAGTGATATTCAGAGTTGTGCAAAGCAAAATACAAATTGAAAGCCATTAATATTGGTGAGGAGACCTGCAGGCCCCTGTTTTATCTCTATAGATTACATCTAAACAAGTTTGGATAAACAAACCTGTGCAGTTATGGCTTCAATAAAAACAAACATCTTTCTGCAACCATCTGCCAAACAAACCTGTTCTTACTTTCAGTCCGTTTGCAAAATCTCCAGTAAAAATAGGATCCCTTCTATAAATTTAGCAGATCCAAATTTAAATCTGAATGTTTTCTCCATGAGGACATTCATACAACAGCAGCAAACTGCATCGAGCAACAATAGTTTCACACAAAGGAACCAAAAAGCAGTCAAATGACAGACATTAGAAGTCTTGTGTTCATTTCCCCCCAAAAGAAAGATAAATTAGTTAAAATTAGCTCCTTTAAGATATGTTAATGCACACCAACAGGAAATTAAGATTCACATTTTGTACTAAAAAGGACAAAACTGTATTGCACTCAGATTTCACAAAGGGGTAAATATGTTCACTTTCAGTTGCTTTGAGAGTTTAAAAAGAAAACTGGGAAAGATTTAATTTATACAAACTTTATGGAGCAACAGAGACAACAATCATGAACTCTAAATGATCACTGTAACACCGGAAAAGTATCTATTAAAATACTCCTAAAATGGTGAACATGTTTAAACGAGCCACATAAAACTTTTCATCCTGTCGAATTTTTTAACAAAAAAAAACAACAACACAAAGATTGTCCAGATTTTGACTAAAGGCAATATTTTAAAAAAGCCACTTTGGCAAAAATAAAGAACAGAGAGGATTGTTCCTGATTAAAGCAGCTCTCTGCTTCAGGACAAGTTTAGAGTCACAACAAAAATGATGAAATGTACCTTTTATCAACCCAAAGAAAGGATTTGGGCAGATATGAAACACAAAAATGTTTCCTGCTGTTTATCATTGTTTCAATGCTTTTTGTTTGAAACCAATTACACTGAAACAGACATAATAAACCTTTTGTCTTTTTTTCCTAAAGTAACAAACTCATAACTTTACTGTTATCTGCCCAGACAATTGAACAAACACTGCTGATTTTGAAACAAACTCAAAATGTCAACAACAGGAAAGGGATAAAAATGGCACATGGTCCAAGTAGTTTAAAAGCCTTTCTACCAGTGTCTGGAATCTACCAGCTCGGGCCGCAGGCTTAGTTTTTTCAGCGTTTCATAGCCGACCACAATAACGATGGCAGTGGGTGTGGATGAGATGATGCGAGCCGACAGTCCTTTGGTCAGTCCCCAGCAGCCTTCCTCCCTGATCAGCTGCCTGAACGTCTCAATCACCGAGTTCCTCCCTTCAACCTAAACACAAAGACACACCTTAGTACTGAGGTACAGCAGGGGAAATAACTCTGATCCCCTGCTGAATGTTATATTGTCAATTCAACATGAAGTTAAAGGGTCTTCGTTTTTGTGGTCAATTACAGCAAAACACAAAATATCTGTTGAAAATGCATGAATGATGGTATGAAAGTTATAGAACTTTAAACTGAATAAGATTAACATTGGATCCCCAATCAGACCACAGGTTAATACTTGGCAGAGTAACACCTATTAAAGGCACAGCGATGAAACATTTCTAGTGGTTTATAACTGGCTCCTCTCTACAGAATGTCTCTAAGTAATTCAGGATTTCCAGGCATCCATTTTTTTTTTTTTTTTTATTAAAAACCTTCAGCTCCCTCCTCAGGTTTTCTTTTGGTTAAAAGTCAGGAGACTGACGAGGTCACTTCATGACCTTAATGTGCTTTTTGCTGAGCCGCTCTTTGTTTTCCAGTCAGTGTGTTTTGGGCCGTTTTCATGCCAGCACATGGCCCCTATCAGTGCGACAGGAGTTTTCCTTTACCCTTCACAGAAAAACAGACAAAACTCAGGATGCTTCCACCTCCTCCGTGCTTCTCAATTAGGACAGTTTTCATATTTGCTCATCCTCCAAACGTGGTGGTTTGAGTTGATTTCAGAATAACTTCACTTTGGCTTCATCTGACCACTGCACATTCTCTCAAACCTTTTTTAAAATCATTTAGTTGTTGACTGGAATATGGCCCGTTCCGCTGTGTTCTTCAAATGAAATTTTAGCCCAGTAAGTCATAGAGTGTTATCCACTATTTTCTTGCTGACCGAGGTCCCAGCTGTCTTACAATCATTAACAAGCTGCTGTCATATAAATTATCTTTCTCTCCATCATCGTCTTACCGCAAACAGGAATTTATGGCTACTGTCCATCTTATGCAATATGACCAGTTTCTAATAAATAAACCAATAGTCGTCATCTTTTCCCCAAGCATTTCAGCTTATGGTTTGGTTACCCATTCCAGGCCTACTAGTTCATTCCTGACATCTTGACAGCTCTTTGGTCTTTCCCACAGTGGGAAACTGAATAAATGTACTTTATAAAACCTAAGGAGTTAAGATCAGTAGTGGGGCTCAACGATTTTGCAAAACATCAAAATTGCGTTTATTTTTAACCGATATTGGGATTATGATTTTCCTTTGCATTAAGCACCAGCCTGTCAATGTTTTACTCCATTGTTTCAGCTTTTTCATAACATTGAAAGCCTCCTTGTCCAGAGCTGCAGGACTTTACTATAACACTTGCATGAAAACGTTCTTACATCTATGATGCATAGATCTAGGGGTTAGCTGTAATTCTCCTCCCTTCTACCCAATTTAAAGGAATAGTACACCCAAAACATGATTAGCCTTCATTTTCTACTCACCCCCATGCTGAACAACACTCTGGAGTACTTTTTTTGATATCTCAAATGCATCTGGAGATCTGGGAGGCTTCTTGCTGTCTGCTGACATTCAAATAATGGAGGTCTGTGGTGCTCGAGACAGAAAGGTCCATAAAAGTCCACAAAAAACGTGTCAATATTCCTCCATACTGCTCGTCCAATGTTTACCAAGTGTCCTGAGTGGGTAGCATCCAGAATTTACTCGAAACGAAGTCATTTAGAATGTTTTTAGAGCATAAACAGTAGTGTATAGGATTTCCTAAAAGCGCGTTCACGAGTCTACGGAAACCGCGGCAGACCAAACCAGACGAAAGTGCGCATTCAGCTCGGCAAAGAACTCATGCTCTTCCTCAACACTGAAGTCCTCAGACATTTTTCTTTCGTTGTTTCTTTCTTTGCACAGGTAAACAGCACATTTCTTCTTCTACGCTTGCATTATTGGCAGAGCAGACGCTGAATGCGCACTTTCATCTGGTTTGGTCTGCCGGCTTCCGTAGCGTCGTGAACGCACAGGCGCGCGCTTTCAGGAAATCCTATACACTACTGTTTATGCTCTAAAAACATTCTAAAGGACTTCATTTCGAGTAAATTCTGGATGCTACCCACTCAGGACACTTGGAATACATTGGACGAGCAGTATGGAGGAATATTGACACGTTTTTTGTGGACTTTTACGGACCTTTCTGCCTCGGGCGCCATAGACCTCCATTATTTGAATGTCAGCAGACAGCAAGAAGCCTCCCAGATCTCCAGATGCATTTGAGATATCAGAAAAGTACTCCAGAGTGTTGTTCAGCATGGGGGTGAGTAGAAAATGAAGGCTAATCATGTTTTGGGTGTACTATTCCTTTAATGAAATTACTGCCACCTAAGGGTCTGAAGGGATAAATGTATCTTATGCTTGTTAAATGTATGGTGACTAAAATTGAGCGCTTCTGCAACTTGAAAATTGTATTTTTCTAAATTGCAATTATATTGCAAATGCAATTAATTTCCCAGCCCTAATCGGTAGTCTTGGTAATTAACTGATTGCACACAGCTGTCTGAAAAGTCCCTCAACTAATCAGTAGAAACAAAATCCATGGATGAGCTGAAGGGAATCAAATCCTTATTTCATTCAATACAATTAACTTTTCTTTAAACCTTCATACTCATGTTTATTCAAGTGTTTAGACAACAGCCACAATCAGTAATTTATGGTAAAAATGGAAGCTTGTTCATTTCTTTGAGAGTAAAAATGTAGAAACTAAGCAGCGGGTCAAAATGATTACTTTCCTCTCTTTAAATAACATTGACCAATCACATGGTTTTGGTTGAGGCCCTAAACTTTATATATTTTACAGAAATTACTTTTTAATTGCATCAGTGAATCTAAAATTCAATTCATTTGCAGATGACATGTGACATTATACATGTAATACAGTATAATCAAAGGGAAGCAAAGAGTTTGAAAGAAAAGGCTTCAAGTTATTAAACTGAAAAATAAAACTAACAATAAAGCATTTTATATGCAAGAGCAGAAAGATTATAAAAAAACACAGATTACTATAATCCAGTTAAATATCATTAATGCTGGGACACACAACATGCTTAGACATCAAAATTACAATGTCTGCAGCTACAATTAGAGCAGCTTTCCTTCCACATGAGATCACAATAGAAGACACGACTGATTAGTGCTACCTGTACTCTGGCTCTGACCACATCCATTGGGTTGGTGACAGTAGAGGCAGTCGCAGCAGCTAAAGGTCCAGCCATGGCCTGAAGGAGCAGGTGGGGGCAGTCACTGGGAGCCATCTTGGACAGTTGCTCTGCACAACATTGCATATAGACAGTTTATAACCAAACCAGAGCCAACAATATAAGACATTAACGCTACTTTTCTTCTATAGCACTAAAAACAGAGACTTGGAAAAGCAGAAAGATCAGGTTTGAGAAGCAAAACATACGACTCTTAGCTTATTTTAGGTAGACAAAAAATTATCTTGCTAAAAACAAATCCATGCCTCTACTGCTTAGCGCTTTCTGAAGTCATTAATTAGAAAAATAAAAAGCTTACCTGCATAAAAGTGATAGAAAGGCCACCAGACTGCACTGTTTGGGATGTAAGTGAGTAAAGAAGCCACGTATCCTCTGTAGAAGCCTCGGAAGCCATCAGCAGCAAAAATCTGAGATACTATCGTTGTGGTCTGCCCAAAAACCTTTGCAGGCTTCCCGGTCTGAGAGTTGGAACTGAGTCGAAAGCGTGTGAGGTGCTGCCCCTGGCCCTGCATCATCAGCTGCTGTGACACAACGTCTATAGGAACAGTGATGCTTTGAGCAACAAGAGAGGCCGAGCCCCCGGCCACCAGGGACTTGATCGTATTGTCCTCTGAATACTGGGAAACATACTTCCTCACCAACTCGTAGGTAGTAATGTACGCCTGGCCTGAGATGAGAGTGAAGGTGTTCACCATGAAACCACGGTACAGGCCTCGTACGCCCTCCGCCTTAAGGATCTTGAAGAACGCATCAAAGGTCCCGCTGTAGAGAGATTTTCCCTTCTGCACCTGAAGCCGGGTGCGGATCAGTGTAGCTGGGTAGACAGTGGCCCGAATGGTCATGGTCATGAATATCCCAAAGGAATAGAACTTCCTTTTATCGAGGTCTTCCCACTCGATGATCTGGATGTTCCTTTTCTGCTGCATCCTGCCAGCTGTCGTCCTGCCCTCATCAGACTGTAGCTGCCTGAGAGCAGGAAACAAGAGGAGAAGGTCAGGGTTCACCCTTAGGTAAACATACAAAGATACATCACAGCTATAAATTAAAAAATGACAATTTAGGCTGATTTATGAAGGTCTTAGAGTTTTGTAAAACCACAATCAGAATTAAACAGCTTAATGATGACCAAAGAAGAGAGACAACGAGGCATGGATGAAGCTTTGGAGAGGCTTAAAGCAGAGTTTATATAAACAATGTATAAAAACACTGAACATATCACAGAGACATTAAAGCCTCTATAATTAGGTAAGAATGTTATGAAAATTGAAGGTATTTTGAACAGAGCATTTAAAAAAAGGAGGAAAAAAAAGGGGGGACAACTTCAGGTCCCTTTGTAATCCCAGCACAGATCTGATCTCCCTCAACATTTTAAAAGCTTCCCCAAATATTTACTCATCATTATTTACTCCAATTTGGCCCTTTTTGTTTTCTTCCTCTTGTGTAAAGTCTGTGGTGACAGGGTTTGAAGCATATCAGCAGGTCTTTTTGGACCCATCTTCAGAAACAGGTTCACATGTTCTCCCACTAATGCGTTAACGGGGGCAGATACTAGACGAGCCAGATTAACAATAGCCTGCAGCGCATTACTTGCATGGACATGCCAACAGAATAAGAGCCCCAACCCCCCTCTCACAAACTGAGTAATGAAACGTTAAGAGCAACTTGTTCATTCGTAATGCTCCTTTAAAGATGAGAGTTCAAAAAGAAAAACCATGCTTTCAATAAACAGCTAAGAGAATTCCAGTTTCTAGTTTGGCATAAGCCTTAAGGGGACACTGTAACTGGACGACACCCAAAGAAGTCATTTTAAGAAATAACAATGGGAGCCAGCTCATGCCATCTTCAATCAGAGATATGGTGGTGGTAGTATCATGTTGTGGTTCTGCTTTTGTTCAGCAGAAAGAGTGATGTTGGTTAGAGAGGATCCAAATACAGTGAAAACTTACTAAAAACATGCGAGTTAGAGTAACTCTTTTATAGAAGCAACGGAAATTACTTATCTCTTTAAATTGTTCAAAACTGGTAAACCCTAACCCATAAATGCTACTTGTAAGTGGAGCAATGATCACAAAAAATGCAGATCCTGTGGGGAACTAAACACATACATGCTTTCATTTTAAGATAAAAAAAAAAAAAACAATATCAAAAAACTATGCCCTTGGAATTTAATACCAGTTTACCATCAAACAAATTTAAGTTTGTGGTTTGAAACGTAACAAAAATCGATTCCAATCAATGTGAATCCCTAAATAAGACACTTTTTTGCTTTTTTTTTTTTTTTTTTTTTTTTTTATATCACAGCCTTACATACTTTAAAAAGGCAACAACAATTTTTTGTTATGATACAACCAGTCAGTAAACAGAGAGTTAGGTTAAACTTTGGCTCCATTTGGGTCCAAATGTTTCACTATCTTTGAAACATGGACCAAAGGTCAATGCTGGTCAAAACTTACTTTGTAGAACTAATCAAAAATAGCTTCGGCCGACAAACCAAGGGGCCGTAATATTTGTATTACACTGTTTCAGTAACAGACATCCTTCTTTTCCACTGTTCATTATGATCACCTGGGAATCCGACTGATCCTGGACTCTAAAGGACACACCGTTCCCAACACGATGATAACACACAGGGTTTGATTATAACCAATTAAAATTATTAAATATCACAAAAACCCGTGGAACAGCTAATAACTAACAGCTATCTTAATAAACATAAGCTTTTTTTACTCGGCTAATGTCTCCGTGTGATAAACAAGCCTGTGACCGGTGAAACAAAGCTAACTGTTAGCATAAGTAACGGGAAGCTGTAACAAGTACTTACCTCACCGGACAGGCCTTATGTGATCTCTAAGACATACCCCGAAAACAATTAACTCTAGAAACCTCTGGTTTGGTGGAGTACAACGTTCAATGGTGTCTGTAATTAGCAATAACGTCCTTACGTTGCTGCGTTAGCTCTTCCTGCTCTCATTCAAACGCCATGCTGCCCGATCAACCAATCACGTAAGACATTCTTCTTCGGTGGTAATTGGGATGTTTTCTGCTACATTACCACCTGTCGGTAGCTTTAAGTATCGACTTGTCCGCGTTCATTCTTAAACGTGAGGTATTTTTTTCCCCATTAAATAAATATTTGTTTGGGGGAATAAACATTTGTTTTAAGTGCAGCAAAATTTAATTTAGCTCCTTTTCACATTTGCGAACCACCTCAGGTCCATGATTTACTGGTTTAATTCAAGTTATAGTCTAGTTAAATATAGGGTCTGACAAGTCAATGAAGTTATACGGAATCTCTGGCAGAGGTGATAAATTTCATATTTTCCTCTTGTTGATCTGTTTAAATTTTGTAACCCACAGAAAAACTTTGATCAAAGTGTGATTAGTTGTGCAGCAAAGGGTTGTTACTGGATCCTTAAAATGTCTGATAGTCAAAGGGACTGTTTGTTTTTGTTTTTTTAATCTTCCAACCATATTTGTGGACATTTATATTTGACTTGAACATACTTTTCTGTGCCAGAAGTGAACAAGCCTCCAGATGAACTTTTTTTTCTCCATTTTGTCACATAAACAACTACATACTGTTGTGTATTTTGTAGAGCTTTAGATCGAAATAACAAAACTGAGAAGTCATTGGAAAGTGGTGCACAGTTTAACGGGTAGCAATGTCTGCACCAGCTTTGCAAATCTAGTCACCTGAATCATTTTCCTCCATCCCTCCATCCATTATCTGACACGCTTGTCCCGAGTGGGGTCGTAAGGGGTGCTGGTGCCTATCTCCAGCAGTCAATGGGCGAGAGGCGGGGTATACCCTGGACAGGTTGCCAGTCCATCACAGTACAATCATTTTCATTTTTCTTAAATTATTAATCTAAAAGTCCTCTTTCTAGCTATGACCGAATGGCTGTTAGGGCTGTTTTCCCGTTGGAAGGGGAACCGCCATACTTGTATAAAGTATTTTGCAGCCTCTAATTGTTCTTTTTCACACAATATTATTCCATTTTGCAAAAGTTTCAATTTGGTCTCCTCTGCTCATCTTCCAGATGCAGGCTGTGTCTCACACACTGCTCTTGGAAATCTTCAAACAGGATCAATTGTGGTTAATTTCAGTTATAAATTTTCTTACTGTCCTTTCTTCATGTTGAAGGTCCATGGCTGAAAGCCATCTTATTTCCTACCCGAGTTTGAGAAGTATAGGCCTATGGGTAAGCAACATTGTTTTAACAGATTTCTGGCAGAAAGTCTAACATGTAATTATTTCATCAGCATCATACAACACATATTATTTCTAACAGACTAAATAATCTCTTTATGAAAACATGTAAACAGAGGAGGTGAACAGCAGGAAGTGGAAGTATCTCTGGCGCCCCATGAAACAACAGCATCTTAATCTCTGACGATGGAGTGAGTTTCCTACTTCTCTAGCCCTGCTCAGCACTAATATTACGGTAGGTATTATGCCAGAGGAAAGAACACTACAGTATGTTTTCAGTAGTACATCTAGCTGGCACACCAGTCAACACTGATCTGATCAGCCTGACTCTGCAGCCAGACCCCGCCGATGATCAAAGGAGCACACTCTGTGAGCTGATTTCTTTAAGGGGATAATGACATAAAGGAGGTAACCAGGTGCTGCTTAGATAAAAGGGAAATCATTGGGGTTGTTTTGCCAGGACTGTGGGTCGTCCCAGCTGCAGCAGTGCAGGGACACGGAGATTCGTGAGGAGCTGATGCTGCTGGAGGCAACAGATGGCAATATCCAGGCTGCCCTCAAGCTCATATTTGCCTGAGGCAAATTTCATGCTGTGTGATTATTAGTATTATTACTGTTGCGCCGTTCATCTTTAATTTATGGGCAGCACAGATAAATCCAAGCTCCATGGGTCTTACAAATATTGTTGAAACAATCTTTAATTTAATTTCCGACATCCTATTCACTCCATAATTGTTATTGCTAGCATTAAACTGCAGATCAGAGCTTAGATGCTTGTAAGATATAATTTTTGTATTAAATGGTTAACATTACAATTCAAGGTAGAGCATTTATTTATAAAAAAACATAAAATAAAACACCTCTCCTGGTCAAAATGAAGTAAAGAGACACTAATTACAGATTTCCTTTAAAGAGTCCATTATATAATAAAAAAAGATAATTTTAGATAAAACAGTCCGTCCATCCATCCATCCGGGTTCCTTCCATCCATCCATGAAACTAAAATACATTTCTGATCAAGTTGGTTCTCCATCAATCGACAACTACTTTGGATAAAGGACTATTTTGGATGCACAGAACATGCCACTCTAGATCAGGGGTTCCAAAACATTTTAGCATGTGTCCCCCAAAAAAACAACGGATCAGACTATACATAATCTATTAATTACTTTACTCTGTTTATACATATAAAGTAAGGTTATTATTTGCATTCTTAAGTAAACACGTATTTCTTATAAACATGGTTTGTAATTTAATCTGATATTTAATTGTGCATTTTATAATTTTAATCATATATAGATTTTGAATAATGTTTTAGATGAATAAATAAATGTTACATCTATTTATTTCATGGAACATTCACATGCATTTATATGTTTATAGTTGTATTTTGACCGTCCATTTACCTCAGGGATGACATTACAGGGATTTTTGAAAACGCAAACCCCAACTTGGTGTCTCCTGACCCCCATTTTGGGAACTTCTCTGAATCATGTAAGATTTTCCAGTTTGACTCAGCTCTCCACCATCTGTAAATCCAGCTAAGTTGTAACTAAGATGTTGTACTTTTGGTCATGATCCACAAATCGGCACTGCAGAGGAGGGAGAGAACTTCAACAAACTGGCAGATCTAGAGCTAACACTTTTGGACCTCAACAGGGCTCTTTTTGCTGCAGAGAAGGCCTCAAATTGGCTTTCTATCTCCTACTCCATCCTAGCTTCATTTAACAAGGCATTAAGATATCTGAGCTCCTTTAACTGAGGCAGAGAAGGGATGAGGGGATCGATGCTCCTTGCTTCGAGGTCAGAGGCAAACTGCTCCAGTGTGCACTGAAATAAATGGTCTGAAGGTGGCAACAAAACCACATCACCAGTAAAAAAGCAACGATTAAACACTGAGGTTTCCTCACCATAGGCCTTCTAGGCATGACTAACCCATGGAATTCTATTCATGAGGGGGAAAAAAAGAATCTGAGGCATGCAATCAAAGCAAAGGCTTCAAACTGAGATATCTCTTTAAGGAAGACGTTTAAAAATAGATTATTTTTTTATAAAACCCAAATCCCCAAAAAGCCAGTACAGTACAATATGTATTCTAAAAACAAATTATTTATCTCTACTCAGACAGAATCCCTACCTGCTGCACGGAAACAGGCAAAGATTTAAAATGGTAATACTAGCACAGTCAGTTACACAGCAATAGTTCTCAGGGTTTTATCTTTGTTGTCACATTAAAAAAATACAATAGTTTTTCTTAACCAAGGTCAGAGAAGTGGCGCTCGCTCTGTTGGAGAGTAAATATGGTTTCCTCCTGCTGGGGAGCTTAGCCATTTCCTCCACACAACCTGCTTGGATGGATCTTATTCCTCTCAGTAAGGGGGACTTTTTTTTCATCATATGTGGAAAAAATATATACTTCCTCTGAGGTGTAGACAGGTAAACAAAGTAAATTATAGGGGTTATAAACATTACAATTGCAGAAAGATAAAAAACTTGTTATAAGAATTTACAAAATATATTCAATTCAATTCATTTCTATAGCACCAATTCACAACACGTCATCTTAAGGCACTTTACAGTTCCCCAGATCATACAGTCAAATTGCTCCAAAGTTTTCTATCCAAGGAAAACCGGTTGATTGCCGAGGTCAACTGGGGTTCAAGGAGACAGAAGCAGAGATACAGAAAGAAGCAGCGATACAAAAGGCAACTGTAAAAGGCGGTCCTGTCCAGGAAACACACAGCCAGGCAGACGAGCTCCGATTCAGCTCCCATGTGAGAGGATGAAGAGAGCACATTCAGCCAGTCAGAGAAACAGGACTACACTGGAAAACAGGCCGATCTCGAACATCTATAAACAAAGTTGTTGATGGCAGCAGCACAACTGATATTTCTCTGCAGGATGGAGTCACAGTCAAACAGGAACAGATGAGGTGAAGCTACTATGAGAAAAAGCAGAGGGAGCATAACGTTAGAGATTGAACTAATAGATTCTGCAGAGTGGGAGAATAGAGATAGAATGATGAAAAAGGGGTCCCTATGTCCTCTGGAAGTCTAAATCAGTAGCAAAATAACTATAGAGATAGCTCAGGATAACGTGAGCCACTCTAACTAGAAGCTTTATCAAAAAGGAAAGTTTTAAGCCTACCATTAAAAGTAGACAGGGTGTCTGCCTCACAGACTAAAACTGGTAGTTGGTTCCACAGGAGAGGAGCCTGATAACTAAAAGATCTGCCTCCCATTCTACTTTTAGAAATTCTAGGAACCACTAGTAAACCTGCAGATTTTTTTGATTTTTTTATTGTATTTGTTTATTTGACAGGGACAGTACAATTAAACATTGCAACCAAACAGGTGGCCGATGTCCAAGTACATAAGGCTTGTAGCCATGGGCTAATTTGCAGCCTTCGTCCCTGGTTAGACTTTTAAAAGGTGTTAGCATTAAGGGGGAGGGAGGTTAGTAACGACACACAAATGCATAAAAACACACAAAAAAAACAAGAGAAGTTAAAACAAAAATGTACAGTACAAGCCAGTTTAGTGCTCACACTCTTGATTGTCTTTGAGCCATTTTTTCAATCTTGTGGAGAAAAGTCGAATATCAGTCTGTGACTTAAGCTCCAGAGGCAAAGAGTTCCAGAGATGTGATGCTTTCACTGAGAAGGCGGACTGACCAATAGATGTCAGACATCTTTTAATCCTGCAGTTCCCACTAGCTCCAGCTCTTGTCCTGATTCCTTCATTTGCATACTTTAAAACAAATTTACAGATTACCTCAGGGGCAAGACCATTAAG